ACCAGAGTCCTGCCACCCTTGAGCTCTAGCCAAGGTTGGCTCATCTGGACCCCGAGGGGCTGGAGAAGGACAAAGCCCGCCTGGACGTCCTGGGCCATGGATGTCCTGGGCCATGGACTAAGGATAGCCACTGCTCTCTCAAGTTCTCTGCGAGCTCCCAGGGCAGGGCTGGCTGACACCTCCATGGCCTCTAGCCACCAGGTATGCCAGCTTCTTCCCAGAGTTCCCCTGGGGCCTCCCGCTCACAGATAGTGATGAGCAGCCTGGGCTTCGTGAACTTTGGGGGCTGCAGGGAGAAGAGAGGATTCATGTTACAGCTTGTCAGTCATGTAGGGCATGACTACAGCTAACATGGCCCACAGCCACCCTGTCGCTGGGAACAGCCTCAGGCCTGATCTCACAGGAACCCCAGCCCCCTCCTGGCAGGTCCTCTGGCCCCACTGTTTTCTAACTCTCCTCTCTCCTCTCCTCTCATCTCCCACGGAGCACTCGGAGCCTCTGAGTTGTGGTCAAGTTCCCACATTCTGCCCAACTGTTGTTGGTGTCTCCCTGGCCATGAGACTTCCTGTGCCTGTTGTTACCATGGCATTTTCATGCCATTGCAACTAGGTCTTGGGGAGTGAGGAGGATGCCTGGGCCCATACTTGGGGTGCAGCGTTCATGGAGAATGTGTGCCCCAGAGGAGCTACTTCTGAGGTGGCCAGAGGTGAGGAAGGGGAGTTTCTGGCTAAGGTGACCAGGAGCCACCAGGAAGGTTTTGTAGATCCTGGAACATTCCTTGGGCTTCTGAGGTGGACAGGATAACGGTTCCCCCAAGGTTGTCCACATGCTGATGCCCAGATTATGCAAATATGCTCAAGTACACGGCCCGGGGAGCTCAGGTTCCAGAGGAATTAATGTTGCTTGTTGGCTGCCCTACAGACAGGGAGCTTTTCCTGGATTATCAGGTGGAACTCAAGCAATCACAGGAGTGATGAAGAGGGAGGCAGAAGAGCAAGTGAGAGGGGTGCCATGTGAGAAGGACCCAACCCGCTGTTGCTGGCTCTGAAGATGGAGGAAGGGGCCATGGACCAAGGACTGTGGGCAGAGCCGACTCTGGAAGCTGGAAGAGACACAGGCTCTTCCTTGGAACCCAAGCCCTGCCAATGTCTTGATTTTAGTCCAGTGAGACTGTTGGACTTCCAACCTACAGGACTATCAGACAATCAATGTGTGTTGTAATATGTGGCCTTTTGCCACCGGGGCCACAGGAAACTAATATGGCTTCCCAGGCACTATCCGAGGAACAGAACCTGGGAATCCTGAGCACTGTGGGTCACTGGCATTGTAATGAGGGCATCGAAGCGCAGGGTCAGCCGGGGCTGGAGAGGCGGGAGACGTCGTGGGTACACAGACCATGAGCTGGTAAGTGTGCATCTACGTTCCACCAAGAAGCGAGGCTGCCAGTCCCCTGGCTCCTGGAACCACTGGCCCTTGGCAATTCCCGAGGTCTCGGAGGTTCAGGGATCGAAGGGCAGGTCTCCTGGAGTGAGCGCATGTTAGCTACGCCCAGGCTGAGAACCGCGCTCTCAAGGCTGGTGGCCGGCTAGCTTCTGACCAAAAGGCATTTATCTCACTTGAGCCAAGACAGTGAGGGAGTCAAATCATAACCCATCCCATGACTCGGATGTCTCACAGCCTCACAGCCGCGTCCGCAGGAGCTGCCCCAGCACAAGGTGCCTGTGTGCATCCGATGGTCCCCCCATTCCCACCCCCGACAGAGCAGCCAACACGGGGTCCCTGACGTCCTATTCCAGGGTTTCCCTGACAACTAAGCCCTCGCTCTGGCCATGGCGCCATTGTGTCTCCTGAAGGGGCCTGGTTTAACTCTGATCGTCAATTACCTGTTGCTTTTAGAGCTTAGCGTTCAGACAGCGACCTCATTTCCCTCTTTCCATGTCACTGGCAGAAGCCTCCCGGTAGTTTGTGTGCACTGACAATAGCTCCTCCTGAGACAAAAGCTATCCTGCAGATAAGGGTGTGGCCACAGCTCTGGGTGCCCTCCGGAGGCTGGCTGGGTCCTGTCTCCCTCCCAGAGGCCGCAATGACCCGGCAACCTCTTCCCCAAGTTGCACCTACTCTGTGGGTTCAGAAGCTTCTTTGGCATGAAGACCAGCTGCTGCCTTTCTGTTTTACTCTCAAAGTCTGTAACCTCGGGTTCTCCGTAGCTTCTGGGGCTTAGTCATCCTTCCAGCTTCCCATCAGAACGACAACCTGAGCTCGCCCCTCACCTGTCTGTCACCTCCCTGTAGCTGAGTGACCTTTGCTAAGGTATTTACTCCTCAGCCTCATTCTTTCATGCACCGGGGCTTACTGAGCACCAACTCAGTGCCACACAGTGACCAGTGACTGAGGAAAGTTGTTAGAAATAGTGCCGCATACAAAATAAACAAAATCCTTGCCCTCAGGAGCTCACATCCCAGTGGGAGGGACAGACAATAGACAAATAAAGTATATAGGTCAGGTGGTGATGGTAACCAGAGGAGAAGAGTCAAGCAGGAAAAGGAGGTGGGGAGTGACAGGGACAGGCTCTGACTCACTGGGGCCCCAGCCCCAGGGCTTGGTGTCCATGGGCTAAGGCCCTGATCAGCAGAGCAGGTTCTGGCTGAAGAATTCTC